TAGCAATAACGAACCTCGGACGACGGGACCGGAGTCGGCAACGGACATAGAGAACGAGGGCGCGTCGGCACCGGAGATAGAGAACGAGAGCGCGACGGCGCCTGGATTCAGACTGAGAGCGAGAGCGAGCGTAGTCATCGAAGCGGGCGAAGCCAGAATAGTAGATTTAGAACTAGATCAAAGCCATGGTGACGTCGCCGCGGCCGGAAGAACGTTCATCATCAGGCCTAATCCGATCCTGGCCGAAAAGAAAAGCCTTCGGACCCCTCAGGCGATTGTGAGCATGCGAGCAAGACGAACATCGACCATCGTTGAAAATTATACAGCGGAGCGAGATTCTGCCACTTCAAGAGGATGCTTTGGTCGCTTCACTCCACACCGACAAAAGCATAACATTTGAGAAGATATTCGAGACCAACAGCATCGCTCACGCTGAAGAAGAAATAGACAACGCGATCGAAAAGACTCTACAGGAGAAGGAAAGGAGGGATATAAAAGACATAATCGCACGATTCCCGCAACTGATCCCCAAGAGGAACGCCCCACCACGGCAAACCCATCTGGTCACACACAGCATAGACACCGGTAGCCACCCTCCTGTCAAAAGTCGCTATGCAAAACGGTATTCACCAGCGGAGAGGGACTACATAGCAGCGGAAGTGAAATCGATGGAGAGACACGGGATCATCCAGCCTTCGGCCAGCCCGTGGAATAGCCCTATCGGATTAGTAAAAAAAAACGGCGAGACAAGATTTTGCATCGATTTCAGGGGGCTGAACAAGGTCACGAAACGAGACAACTACCCGCTCCCGCGAATCGACGACGCACTGGACTGCCTGACGGGCGCCAACTTCTTCTCTACACTCGATCTGAAATCCGGTTACTTCCAGTGCCCATTGGAACGCACTGACAGAGAGAGAACGGCCTTTTCGACACCTGACGGACTCTTCGAATTCAGGGTTCTGCCTTTCGGACTGTCGAATGGCCCCGCGACGTTCGAGAGACTGATCGACAACGTGCTCAGAGGTCACAAATTGAAAAGCTGTCTAGTATACCTTGATGATCCATGTGTTTTCGGCTCAACCCTTAACGGACATAATAGACGTCTCGAGGAAATCTTACGTTGACTAGATCAAGCTTACCCCTCTCTGAATATTTAAGAAGTGCCTTTTGGCGCCAAGAAGATCATATTGCTTGGCCACGAAGTATCAAGCCAAGGTATCCTGCCCGACCCAGCGAAAACAAGTGCCATCCGCTCCTTCCCGACCCCCGTCAACCACAAAGCGGTAAGAAGCTCCCTCGGGCTCTGCTCCTACTACCGGGAATTCATGGAGAACTTTTCGAAAATAGCAGCTCCTCGCAATGATTCACAGAAAGACGGCGTCAAATTCCGCTGAGACACAGAACACCAACAAGCATCAGGAACTCTGAAGAAAAACTGATCAGCCCTCCGCTGCTCGGCCATTTCGATCCAAGCCAACCTGCGATTCTACGCACGGACGCCTGCGAATACGGCATTGGAGCGATATCGGCACAGATGAACAACAAAGGAACGGAACGCGTCACCGCCTATGCCAGCAGAACTCTATCAGGACCGGAGTCCAGATACTCCACCACGGATCAAGAGGGCCTGGCAGTAGTATGGGCAGTCAAAAAGTTCCACACTTACGTTCACGGCCGGCCGGTCACCGTGGTGAGCGACCATCACGCACTCTGTTAGCTGCTGACAGCTAAGAACCTGAGAGGTCGGCTGGTAAGGTGGGCACTTCAACTGCAAGAATCTGACAGCAACATCGTATACGAACAGGGACGGAAACATCTAGATGCGGACTGCCTATCTCGATACCCCGAGGACGGTAAAACACCAGACATCCGCGTCCCGTCGTGTCGGGAGAACGAACACGACTCGAGGATCCGGCAATCACGTCAACGGCCATTAACGGTGTATCACTTCAATCACTAGCTCAAGCCCAACAGGAAGACACATCATTGGATCGGATAAGAGATCTCGCTAAACGTACCTGCACCTTCGAAATCGTTGCAGGAATAATCTACAGAGGGAACTTCTCTCGATCCGGCGACAACCTACTACTCGTTCTCCCTAAGCCCATGAGACAGGAAGCCTTAGAAGCAGCACATTCTGCGAAAGAGTCCGGACATTAAGGAATCGCAAAAACTTATGGCAAGCTCACCCAAAAATACTATTGGCCGTCAGCTTACAAAGACGCAGACGCTCACGTCAGAAGGTGCACGGAATGCCAACGCAAGACCAACCCGGAAAAAGTAGGTCTACTCCCACACATCGAAACGCCCAATACACCGTTTCACACCATCGGAGTCGATCTTGTGTCGTTCAACCAAACTAGCAAAGGGAACCGGGTGGTAGCCACTGCGGTTTGCCACCTGACAAAGCACCTTATAGCGAGAGCTCTCCCAGATGGCTCAGCAGAACAAGTCGCAAAATTTCTAGTGGAGGACGTGATCCTGCAGCATGGAGCCCCAAGGATAATGACCAGCGATCGAGGGAAGACGTTCTTATCCGAAATCGTCGAATGCGTGAACGAAAGGTTCCGCTCATCGCATCGAAAGACAACGGCCTATCAACCAGCGTGCAACGGACTCTGCGAGCGCACGCACAGGACAATCATTCATTGCCTAAGCAAATACACCAACAATGACAAAAGCGATCTCCTACCATTCATCGTTCACGCATATAATACAGCTCCACAGAAATCCACTTAAGTTCTCCTCATTCTTTCTGGTCCATGGAAGAGACGCAGAGACCACGTTCAACACAAACCTACCCGCTCCGCCGATCCGGAAGACTATCAGCGCTAACGAGTGCGGCGAAAACTACACCGCAACATACTCGTGGCCAGAGAGCTGGCACGGGATCTGGCCGACAGGGAGAAGGATGTTGAAAAGACTACCCACGACACTCAACGCATCATGAACACCTTCAAGGTAAACGATCCCGTCTGGGTACATTTCCCGTTCCGGAAAATAGGTCAATCGGACAAGCTACAGGGCCCCTACTTCGGACCTTTCAAAATAATGAGACGGAAGGGACCAGAAACATTTATCGTGGAACCCGAGCCTCACGCAACACTGCCAGGACCCCGTACGAAAGCGCAAGTCGTACACTCGACTAGACTGAAAATGGTTCAGCGGCCAGCGCCTGCAACCCGACACGGGGGAGTATCGGATCCAGCACCTGAACCAGCTCCCGATCCACCTGAACCAGCTCCCGATCCACCTGAACCAGCTTCCAATCTACTCGATATAACGTCCGACCCGGCAGCTGATCAAGCCGAGGACACAGCCATCGATCCGCAGAACGACCCTACAGATGGAGCGCCAATCGAAGACGAGGCGACAGTCTCGTCACCTAGATACCCCAGTAGAACAAGGAAAGCGCCACAACGCTTCGCGGATCCATTTTAGTGAGCTGTAGGAAATTAGAAATGCGAACCCCATTCGACCTCAGTCAGGAAGACGGCCACCCAGCACGGATATCGGCCGGAGCACGCGAGTGAGAACCGGGGCGGTTCTTCTTCGTAAGGAGGGTAATGTGAGGACGAGATCAGCGCAGGTAATCGGGCCCGTTGGTTTGGCTTGAGTTCGGATATATCGCCGTCACGGCGACGCCGTGGCAGATAGTTTCGCCGAGCGCTCCGTCTGTCGATGCGTGGGCGAGAGAGAAATATGAGACGTGCAGAGTGGATCACCTGTGTGAACAACACGCCGGGAGACGGTCGCCAACACGTACAGTCTCTCGAATAAACCAGAGCGTAAGAGCAGATTCGCCGAGCCTTCAATCTGCATCCTTACACTATGAAGAAACCGTTGTGAAGAAGTTCGTCTGTAGTGTCGGTGCTCTAGCTCTTGTCCCTCTGCCGCAGATTGACAATGCTTGGTCGAGGCAGAGTCGCCCTCGGCCGACCACCCCGCGTTCCTGCTCCTCGAACAATTCAAGGCGTACTTCATAGGTACTTGGCTCGAAAACGAGGCGGTGTTCGCGCGCCAGCTCTGGAATCACAATGGGAACGGGGCGCGCACCACTAACCACCTGGAAGGGTAGCACCAAGCCTTGAACCGTGGTCTTGGTCGCTCTCATGTGAATATCTCCGAAATGATAAGTCACCTCCGAAAGCTCGAGAAGGAATTCAAGACTCACTCAGATGCTTCGGACAGCAATCGATCGGACGCGTCCTGGAGGGATTGGCGATCTCCAGATAGGTCATGGGTGGCCAGAACCTAAGCCCAGATTTGAGCTCTTATCTCTAGCTTTCCAAAGAGACCGATCTCGACACTCTAGCAAGCAAGGAAGGTTCTTTACTGGAACAGCTGTGCCAAAAGGCACAGCAATCTGCAATTTCCTGCAGCAATAGTGTCGAACGGACACATTTCTAGAATTATAGTGCCAGGAAGGAATCGAAGTACATACCGATTTCTTTGGGGGCTTTCGTTACGAAATTCCCGGTCTGCGTCCCTGACGTTCTCGGAACGGGCTCGGGTTCCCCCTCGCTGACGCTGCGGATCGGACCTGCAATGTGTCGAACTGTGCCAGGAAAGTCCATTAATAGATTGATTGTGCTGAATTCCACATTCGTTGCGAGTTGCGAGCCTGATCTCTTTTGCGCAACGTGGTAAGCTTGGGCTTCTTCCAGACCGAGAAGTCCGCATCTGCACAACGAGAGGACCCTCTCGATTCGCACTCCCTAGACGGCCTGTGGCCTTTTCAATGCGGAAGAGATTGGATCATTGGTGAGTTTCCGATTAGGCCCGCGTTCCCGTCTAATTTTCAGAAGACCACAACGGCGGAAGAACTTACATATAGCACTCGAAGGTATCTCTGGGTCAGACCCTGACAGCCCCTCGAAGACCTGCTTCCTGAAGCTCTCGTTTTCCGAAGCTAGAAGCTGCGTCAGGCTCTCCAGGAGCCGACCCGTCTCGCCTTCCAGATACATGGACACCACGCGCCCTCGCGGGTCCAAGAGGTCTCGCAGCAGCGTCAGACCGGTATAGGAAATTACTCCTCAAAAGAAGTCAGTCTTTATTGAAGCTTTTTTATACATGACTAGCGCTCCCGGTCGGTATCGCTAGGCTCACTACTCATGCGCGAGCTCCGAGTGCGCTGGCTCCGGGTGCGTCAGCTTTGGGCGCGTGCTCTGGGTGCGCGTCCCGTTTCCCTGCTTTCCCGTTTCCCTGCTTTCCCGTTTCCCTGCTTTCCCGTGTCCCCACTTCCCCTTACCCCACTTCCCCTTACCCCACTTCCCCTTGCCCCACTTCCCCTTACCCCACTTACCCTTACCCCACTTACCCTTACCCCACTTCCCCTTACCCCACTTCCCCTTACCCCACTTCCCCTTACCCCACTTCCCCTTACCCCACTTCCCCGTTTCCCGACTTTCCCGTTTCCCCACTTCCCCGATTACCCACTCTCCCGTTTCTCCACTTTGCCGTTTCCCCGCTTCCCCGATTTCCCCCTTTCCCGTTTCCCCTTTTTCCCGTTCCCCCGCTCTCCCGTTTCCCCGCTCTCCCGTTTCCCCGCTTTCCCGTTTTCCCAGTTTCCCTACTTTCCCCTCTTTCCCGTTACCCCGCTTTCCCGATCCCCGTTTTCCCTTTTTCCCCACTCTCCCGTTTCCCCGAGATTCATTCGTAGGGAGACAGAGGCCAATGATAACGGCAACCCCCGATAGCCTTCTTAGGAGCTCCCGAGAATCCACCTTCTCATGGCGATCGGTCCAGCCGATGAGAAATCCTGAGAATTCCCGTCTTTACCTTGATGAAATCTTTGATTCTCGGTGAGAGGACAACTCAAATAATTTTTTATGGTGGAAGGACCCATCACATGAGAACGACGACCCTCATATGACCCTCCTGAAGCTTCCGAGAACCCACCCCTAAATTTTTGCGGCGATCGGTTCTGGGGTTAGAGAATTTTGCGAATTTCCGATTGTTTAATTTTTTCCGAGTTTCCGTATCTTCGTAGGTGGGGCACTCAAATAATTTTTTTAAGGTAGAAGGACTCATCGTATCGGAGAACTGACCCCCCTATAACCACCGCTGGATCCCCCAGAACACGCTCCTAGATTTTCACGACGATCGGTTCAGCCGTTTTCGAGTCTATAGGGTACCCCGGACATACAGACAGACAAACAGACATACATACGTTTTTATATACATAGACTAGCGCTCCCGGTATCGCTAGACTCACTACACATGCGCTG